CAAAGAAAAATGTTATTGGACATGGAATGCATTTTAATATGTTAGGTGTGATACGGAGATGGAGCTCTAAACATAGAAGTGCCGGCCTGGTCCTTTAGGATATGAAAGTAGCCCTGGGATATCAAAAGAATTCCTGTTCCCTGCCCCCAGAAACCTGGGTGAATCAAAAAGAATTCAGATCTGTTAAATGCATGCAAATACTGAACTCAGCTCTTAGACAATTCACTGTTGAGAGAGTCTCTGCTGTAGAGCACCTGGACTAAGGGGACTTATCATAGTAAAAACTGAAAATTCCTTGCACTCTTTTGAATTATAACATCAAACAAGAAAAAAGCTGAGCCTCAACCAGACTCCCTATGGTCAGCTTAATGATTTGTCAGAACCCCTTCTACTGGAAATGGAGGGAAAGGTGCAGATTCACTGTTGACGGCCAGATCCTCCAACTTCCCTTCCCAAGTGACATATCTGGTAGAGCATTTCCAGCAGGGTGCACCACTGAGACACCAGAAATTGCCCCACAGGAATCAGCTCCTAGAAGAACATCTCTAAATCTAAACTGAGGAAGAATCAGGAGAAATTGGGGGAGATGAAGACCTCCGGGCTGCCAGGCCTTACCTGGCTCAGCCTGGCCTGTGGTTGTGAGAAAGCAGACTCCTGAGAAGGAAAGGGGTAGCTCGGTCCAGGCAGACGGGGCACGGTATATCCCCACCCCCGCATGCTCTCTGAGGGAGGCACACCACAAACTCAAGGAAAGAAACACGTGGGGAAAACAGTCCTCTGTCTCAGGCCATACATTCTGATGATTACCCTGAACCCTAGCCATTATCAAGAGGACCCCGAAAAGCTGGATGGGCATTCATATTCTCTTGGGCCTAATGGGAAAAGAAGCTTTGGTGAATCGCTAAGGTTTTCCCTTTTTATACTCAAAACTCAAGTAGCTTATTCATTCTACTGATCACCTGGTAGATAGCATTGTATACCTGGCAACTAATAAATGTTTGAGGTGTGGGTTGGCATCCTTACCCTGGCTTTACACCACTGTTTCCCCAGGGCCCTTTGGCTGGTATATGCAAGGGGACGCTGCATACAACAGCCCACAATAGCACTCTTGAGTTCATTTCCCAACAGTTATTTATGAAAATAACCCAAAGTGGTGGATAAGAAACTAGGCTCACCTTAGGTTTATTTAAAAAATAAATAAATAAAAGTATTCTCTCCTCAATCACACACAAGCACACTTACATAACAACTTCACAGGACAAACATCGATCTCTCTGCTCACCTCCAACTCCCCCCAACCGCTCCACCCCCACCTCATATTCATCACCACTACCACGCTAAGAGCAGTGAAATGATTCAAGATAAGGGAGTGATGTGGCTTTTTAACAAGAGACAAGTTACTAAACCCCCAAGCCCTAAGATATGCCCAGGGGTGATAATATTCCCTTCATAGAATTTTTGTGTTGATTTATCGATATAATGTATTTAATGACTTTGGCCTTTGTAGACAAACAATAAACAGTAGCTGTTACTATTGTTATTATGCAAAGCTATTGATATAAATCCTTCTGAATATGACTCTAATATTTGTGACATTTAAAAAAGCCAAAAAGATAAAATCTAAAAACTGAAAATAATGTTTTATGGCAGAATGGCTTAGTACTTTCCTCTAAATAGTGGGTTCAGTGACATTTTTTAGAGGAGTTATTTTTTTTATTGTGACAAAGTACCATTTTAACAATTTTTTTTTTTTTTTTTTGTAGAGAGGGAGCAGGGGAGGGGCAGAGGGAGAGGAAGAGAGAATCTCAAGCAGACTCCCCACTGAGTGTGGAGCCCAATTCAGGGCTTGGTCCCACAACCCTGAGATCATGACCTGAGCCGAAATCAAGAGGCGGATGTTTAATTGTCTGATCCACCCAGGTGCCCTCATCTTAACCATTTTTAAGTGTACAGTTCAGTGGCATTAAGTACATTTATATTGTTGTGCAACCATCACTACTACCCATCACAGAACTTTTTAATCATACCAAACTGAAATTCTGCACCTAGTAAAAAATAACTCTCCATTCCCTACTTCCCCAGCCCTGATAACCACTATTCTACTTTTGTCTCTGAATTTGACTATTTTAGGTTCCTTATATAAATGGAATCATAGAACATTTGTCCTTTTGCATCTATTTCATTTAGTGAATATCTTCCAGCATATATCAGAATTTCCCTATATACAACATACAATGTTATTCAGCCTTAAAAAGCAATGAAATATATATATTGATGTTATGTTTATATATTCAAGATATATATATCACATTTATATATATCACATTTTGTTTGTCCATTTCTCTGTTACTGGACACTTGAGTTGCTTCTACCTTTGGGCTGCAATGAACATGACTGTACAAATATATCTTTGAATCTCTGCTTTCACGTCTTTGGGGTATATACCCAGAAGTGGAGTTACTGGATCATAAGTTCAAATCTATGTTTAATTTTTTGAGGAACACAATACTGTTTTCCACAATAGTTGCACCATTTTACATTCCCATCAGCAATGAGCAAGGGCTCCAATGTCTCCACATCCTGGCCAACACTTGTTATTTTCTAGGTTTTTTAATAATAGCCATCCCAATGGATACAAAAGTGGTATCTCTTTGTGGTTTTGATTTACATTTCCCTAATGATGAGTGATTTTGAGCATCCTTTCATGTTTTTATTGGCCTTTTATATATCTTCTTTGGAGAAATATCTATGTAAGTCCTTTGCCTATTTTTTAATCAGGTTGTTCTTTGTTGTTGAGTTATAGGAATTCTTTATATATTTTGGATATTAATCCCTTATCATATATACAACTTACAAATATTTTCTCTGATTCTGGGGTTGCCTCTTTACTCTATTGATAGCATCCTTTAATGCACAAAAGTTTTTAATGTTGATGAAATCTAATTTACCTATTTTTTTCTTCTGTTTCTTGTGCTTGTGGTGTCCTATCCAAGAAGTCATTTGATCCGATGTCAATTTTGTCATGAAGATTCTCCCCTGTGTGTCCTACTAGAAGTCTTATAGTTTTATTAGCTCTTATGTTTAGGTCTTTGATCATTTTGAGTTAATTTTTGGTATTGTACAAGGTAAGGCTCCAGCTTCATTCTTTTGCATTATGGATATCCAGTTTTCCCAGTATCATGTATAGATCTATAATAATTTTTAATCATGTGCTAGCTTATTAAAGGCTGTCAGCCTAGAAAGGATTAAAAAAAAAAAAAGAGGGTCAGGATGACTTGAATCATCTCATAAATTATGTTATAATAAATTTGTTTCATAGCTACATTATAGATACTCTGAAGACTTCCTATAACATTGCTAAGTAGTAGTATTGAGTTCCAAAAGGTACTATAGAATTTAAAATAGCAACATTTGCATTCTTCTGATCAAAAGAAAAATTGTCACTAGGTTACACCCAGGTATGGCTAATTTTATATTAGGTCATAGATAATTTTATATTTAGGTAGGCTTCTTGCCTGAAAAATCAGGGTATTTAAAAAAAGAAAGAAAAGAATGTAAGTCTTCACCACTATGTATCTTGTACTGAAATGGAAATATTCCTTTTTTAAAATTAAACAGACAACAAACTAGGAAAATGAGTATATTCATACTTGCAATTAGTTGGCAGTGGGAAAGAATAAGAACTCAAGAAATGGCAGAGAGATCCATTTTCCCCTTTGTCATCTTCTCTGAGTCTGTAAAATCCCAAGGCACATCTGTTTATTTTCCAACCTTTCTGGCCTAACCTTACTATTGGGAAGGAAACTGAGAAGGAAGGAAAGAGGAAGGAGGGAAAGAAGGAAGGAAGGAAAGAAGGAAGGAAGGAAGGAAGGAAGGAAGGAAGGAAGGAAGGAAGGAAGGAAGGGGACAAAAGCAGAAATACATTTTTCACATATGACCTTTTCTTTTACTCGTTAAAGTACAAATTATTATTAACAAATTGTCAAGCCCAATGACCAACCCAATGAGAGTGTTTATTTTGATGATGTCAGTTAAACATCCTGGACTTGGAGATCTAGTGAGACAAAAAGATTACAACTTAGATTCTGCCTCTGAGAAGACCATATAAGGACCGAAGAGGTGAGAAGCCATGAAAAGAGAATAGCAAGAGCCATGAGTAGAAAACAGCAAGATTCAAGAGACCTTGCAGAGCCTTACAAGCTCCCCAAACCCCAAGAGATAGTAAGATAGAAATTATAGCCAAAAGAGCAAAAGAAAGTAATAAGTATATTAATAAATAACAGAATTCTATATGCTTTGTTCTTTGTCTCTTTGCTTTTCAAGTTAGTTGGTTTGATAAAAGACCCCTTAAATAAAGTTTAGATTATTTCTCCATTGTCCTGTCTCAGCAGTTCTTTTAGAGATCAGTAAATGCTTGCCTGGGGTTGGGTTTAACTTGTAAAGAAAATCGTTCCCTGCTTTCCATGAATTTAAAAACAATTTACTCATCCTGTTGAAATATAGTGGGAACTCTCCTGTTGGAGGATGAGTTCATTTTTTACTAAAGTTGATTAGTAAGTTATTTCTTCCAGGGGCTCCTGGGTGGCTTAGCCAATTAAGAGTCTGACTCTTGGTTTCAGCTCAGGTCATGATCTCAAGGTCATGGGATGGAGCCCTGCATCAGGCTCCATGCTGGGCATGGAGTCTGCTTGGGATTCTCTCCCTTTCCTTCTCTCTCCTCCACTGGCTCTCTTCCCGCTCACCCCCTCTCTCTCTAAAATAAATAAAATCTTTAAAAAAATAAATAAGTTATTTCTTCCAGAGCACTGATGTTCTGAATGGGTTAAGGCCTGCTTTCATCAAAAATATAAAGTACAAGAGCTAAAATCCACTCTGTTTTCAAAACAAAAAGTGAAAGAGAAATAAGGCAAACCAAGGAACTGCCCATTTCCTCTTGCACACCCTTTTTAAACATGCTTGTTTTTATCCTGCTTTCTTCCTGCTACTTTCCACTTGGCTATTCCATATCTATCCAAACAGGGAGACTAGAATTTCCTTGAATTTCTACGAATCTATTTTGTGAGTTTGAGTTCTTTGCTGGCGCAGTTCAATTGCATGCTGATAGAAAGAGACAAGTTTACCAAATAATGAAGTTTTAGCTGACGCTTTTCCCAGTTTGGAAACTCGAGGGGTCACTCCACATTTCTGTGCTTTAATTTCATCGTCAAAGGGCAGTAATGTAGTGGCCATCTCCTAGTATTTGATAATATTTTAGCCAAGAGTTTTCCTACAGCTTCTCATAAATAGTGGGTCTCAAGGGAGGCCGTACGCCTGCGGGCTCACTGTGCAAAAGGGTGTAATGTTTTTATCAGATTCTGAAAGGAACCCATGAGCCAAAAAAAAAAAGTTTAGAAAAATAAAAGTTGCTCTAGGATCTTAGGATGACAGAAGGAAGTATGCAAATTAATTCGCACTGGAAGAGTTTCAAATCTAGTTAGGGAGCCAAACTTAATGCAGCCGATACAATGGGAGAACCATAAAAGGCAAACATATCAAAGAGCTTCATTTGGTGGTGCAGTCTGCAGGCGTCCAGAAAAAGGGGGAGAAGAGGGAGTGCGCAGAAGAGAAGGCTTCCTGGAAGAGGTGAGACTCAACATCCCTCTGTTCTCCTATCTCTGGGGTCTTGCCCGGGGCATGTTAGCATTGGGCACATAAAGGAGGTGATCATTTGTTTCTTCTCTAAAACGTTAGCCATTTGGGAAATAAAGGTGAAATTATGTAAGAGTTTATAAGTCATTCTAACCCTCTATGCTAACCATTTTAACCAGGCTCCTTTTAAGACCCTGATAGATACAACACTGACAATGCTTTTAAATAATGCTCAGTAAGTAGTGTTACCTAAATTTTTATTAATGCTGTTTCCCTCCATCTTCTTGTCAATTGACTTTGAAAAATGAAGCTGGTTTCTGTGACCCACCCCACATCTTTGGGCCTCACTGTCTCCCCCTAGCGGTCACCGGTGAATACCAACATGGCGGACTCATTTTATCCTTGCCTGAACAAAAGCCGTTCCCTGGAATGCAAATTTAGGAAAAGAGAATGCATGCCCAAGTAGTTAAAGAATTCTAACGACTCTTGCATCCTCTCAGCTACTTCTCCCTTTCACTAGCAGGAATAATTGCAGTGCCCATACCAGGAAAATAGAACTTTATCTTCTTCAGAGGGTATCTCTATATTGTCTGTCATCTTTATTGCATTTCCTGTTTTGCCTTCCTGCTCAGGGGCTTATATACTTAATTGACTTCACAGGAAATATATCACATATGTGATATTTGAAATATATCTTAAGTAAAGTGATTACACTCCAAAAATAAAAACTCATTGGTGGATGATAAATTAGGATTGGGAGCTTGAGTCCTTACCTGTTTTCTCTTAGTCAAATTACTTCTTTTAAATATATATTTTTGACAGACTGCTGAATGTATGTCAGTAACAACTAAAAATTACCTTAAGTTTCATTTGGAAATAAGCACAAGTTGAAATGGAATGCAAATGAACGAATTCGAATGTATTCCGAGTTGTCTTAACCAGAGACTTATCTAGTCAGCTACATTGTTAATGGAAATTGCTAGATTTCTGCTCATGTTGTCATTTTTGTCCAACTTACTGGTACAGAGAGAAAAATCATAGAATGACCAAGAATAAGTAATTATTATGGACTGTCTGGTGAAAATATGTTGTTAAACTCAGTAGTAAACAGGACGCCTGGGTGGCTCAGTTGGTTAAGCGACTGCCTTCGGCTCAGGTCATGATCCTGGAGTCCCGGGATCGAGTCCCGCATCGGGCTCCCTGCTCGATAGGGAGTCTGCTTCTCCCTCTGACCCTCCTCCCTCTCATGCTCTCTGTCTCTCATTCTCTCTGTCTCAAATAAATAAATAAAATCTTAAAAAAAAAAAAAAAAACTCAGTAGTAAACAATGTCAGAGTATCAGGGTTATTTCTACCTGCAAGCCTTGCCTGGTGATCTGTTCACCATCTTGCTGGCAGGAGTCATCTGCTCCTCCTTCTAGAGAGGCTTGCATGCGCCTTGGAATTTCCTGGGAAACTAAAAAATACTGATGACTGTGTCTCAAGCCTAGAGATTTTGATTTGATGGTCTGGGTGAAGCCTGGGAACTGGGATCTTTAAAAGCGTCCCAGGTAATTTTAATGTGCATCCAGGTTGAAAACCACTGCTTTACACTCTGAACTGTACCTGCACTGTGAAAAAACTGTTTCAGCAGATAGTAGATACAAGGCGTTTTGGTTAAGCTAAAGAATGTCTCCATTTCAAGGCCTTCCGCTAACAAACATTTTGTATCCTCCTTTTATTCACTGAGCATTTATTACGTGCCAGAGACGGCAATTTCAATTTCCTGACTACCCACCTAGTTCCTGACCACACCCTCTTTAAAATACCCACAGGTTTTGAGGCAGTATCAGGTTCTTTTCCACCTCTGGAACTTGCCCCCTGCTCCGTCTTCACTCCTTGTTCTGGCAATGATGCTACCCATATTGCTAATCACATCTGCATTTTGAAAAGCATTTTCATTTAAAAAAATAAATAATAGGAAACATCTTTTTTTAATATAGGATTTGGATTGTCATAGCAGTAATTCGTATTAGCTCAGCATCAAGTGAAAAAATCTGGTGCCCCGCTCCTAGGTGGTAGTACTTACAAGAAGATCTAGAAATTTGCAACCCAAAATTAAGGCATCAGTTGCCTTTCCTTTTCAAGAGGCAACACAAATGATCTTCTGCCCTTGAAATTACTTTAGTGTCAGGCTATGTATTCAAAATAAAGGAGATAAATCCTGGTACCAGAATGTGTTCAGACAGGTATTGCAGATAATTGATGGGATTTGAGATCAAACACCATGCTTTAAGAATATAGTTTACCAGCATGAGAGATTGAGATAGATGATGCTAATAAAAATTGCTAAAAACCTAACACATGAAGCTAGATTCACATACAATTTATATTTTTAATGAAACGAATGCCATCCTATGATAAGTTTATGGGTATCGCCACCATTTAAATGTTGGTGAGATAGATTTAAATACATTTGGGATTGTTATCGTGTTCCTTTTATTCTTTTTAGGATCATAGTTACATTTTTAACAAGTATATATACTCAAAACAGAAAAGTCAGAAAGTCAGCAAAGTACAAAACAAAAATTATTTGTAATAAAACGTTAACCTAAGTCAATCACTGTTAACATTTTAGATTGTGTCCTTCATTCATAGATAGATAGATAGATAGATAGATAGATAGATAGATAGATAGATAGATTCACAAATATAGATTTTATATAAAACAGGTTAATCATGGGTGCCCGGGGGACTCAGTCAGTTAAGCTCAGGTCATGATCTCAGCGTCCTGGGATCAAGCCCCACCTCGGGCTCCCTGCTCAACAGGAAGTCTGCTTCTCCCTCTGCACCCCACCCCCTGCTCTGTCTCTCTCTCACAAAAATAAATAAATAAAATCTTTAAAAAAATTTAAAAAAAAAAACAGGTTGTGTTCACAAAATGTAATACCCAGGCATTTCTTCTTTTTTTTTTTTTAAAGATTTTATTTATTTATTTGACAGAGAGAGACACAGCGAGAGAGGGAACACAAGCAGGGGGAGTGGAAGAGGGAGAAGCAGGCTTCCCACGAGCAGGGAGCCCGATGTTGCGCTCGATCCCAGGACCCTGGAACCATGACCTGAGCTGAAGTCAGATGCTTAACGACTAAGCCACCAGGCGCCCCAATACCCAGGCACTTCTTAAAAAATTCCATGTCATCTTTCAGACTTCAAACCTCTCCCAAGTACCTGTCCTCATATTATTAAAGCATAATAACTTGATAAACCTGGTCAGTTATACAAATGCTCTGAGGGCTGAGATAACATGCAAATAAACCCTACATATCAATGTGTGAAGACTGGACAGACCACACAGTTCAAAAAAGGAAGTGCACTCTGCAAAGCTAACTTGCACATTCACTGTCCGCCTTACAGCATCTTCGGGGTCGCCGTGTGCCAGGCACATCAACTCTTTTCAGTAAAATGGTGAGTAAGAGATTTTATGACTCTCCCTGGTCCCCTGGCAAACATCCCATCTTCTCTAGGTAGAGCAGAGCGGGGTGGGGAGGCTTCTTGCCAAGTCCTCCAAGCCTTTGGAATGTTTGCTTGACCCGTTGTTGTTCCATTTGCAAATAAAGTTGCTGAGTGTTACACCAGTTGAGAGTCTGTGGCTTCAGGATTTCCCGTTTCTGATTCTAGCCTTCAGAATAGAGGAAGGGCTATGACTTTCGGAAAGAAAAGTTGCATTCTTTGTCTTTGCCTCTTAAGATAGAGAGGTGCCAGGATCAGTAACGGAGTCGAGTTTCCTATTATAAGGTTTTGGGATCCCGGAGGAGAACTCCAATGATAAATGTTGGGCAGTAAGTACTGCTGATGATGAGTGCCATTTTGACAACACAGTGGATTTTGTAAAGGAGCTCTTTTGTTTAAAAATGCATTTTATTATTTTAGCTAAGAGAAGCAAACAAAACCCAAATAGTCCAAACCTTAGGGGCAGGCTGTGTTCCCAAAGTTCATTGAAAGTCATTATTTGGAGCAAGCTTAAAAGAGTGACTGGTTCCCGATGGTACCATAACAACTCGCTTAACCCATAATACAGCTGAACTGCAGTGTTAGTACATGGTTTCCTATTATTTCTCTGTAAAAATTGCCTGTGTTCTTATACTGGTAGTGTTCTTATGCTCCCAGAGTCTCGAAGAGAGCTAACTTTCTAGTCCATACACCCCCTCCACTACTCCCCAGTCCCCAGAAGGCTGGAAACTTGGTTATCCCTTCTCTTGTGAGGAAGGGGATTGCTTCCTCTGCCAGCCCCTGGTGTAAAGACAGGGATTGAGGTAATGACTGCTGCAGGTACACAGCTAGGGGCGGAATGCACTGCAGGCACTGGAGTAGAGAGCAAGGTCTTCATGGGATGTGTCTGTAAGGCGGGGGCCTCTTGAGCCAGAATTGGGAAGTACAGAGGTGAGAGAGACTAACCTTGCCATAGAGGAGAAAGGGAGGAGAAGAGACGGGGTCAGAGTGCGGAGTCATAGCGGGGAGGAATGCACAGCCATGGAGGAAATGGTGGCATGGGGATCCTACCTGCAGCCACACTCATGTGGAGAAAGGCAGTCACCTGTCAAGATGGGACTTACAAGTCCTGGGAGTGTTTCCAACTGGGTCTTTAGGTCCCAGATTCTTAGAAGAAAGCTTGACCTTAATTACTGATAGCCTTTTCAAAAATAAGTGAGGTTTACTGAGTTATTTGGGTTTTCTTAGGGAAGACGAGATGATAATACCAGAAAAAAAGTTTAACTGGATAGTGGGTATTTGGTGCAATACTTAAGCAATGTTTTCTTAGGGGATTACCATCTCCCTATTACAAAAGTAACACATACTATTAGAGAAAATTTCTTAGAAATATACATATGCAGAAATGAAACAATATATATTTTCTATAGTTTCAACACTTGGGGGCAATCCCTGTGATGTGAGTACATATCTTTCCAGAATTTCATCATTTTAAAACATATTTTAAAAATACGATTTTTCTATAAGTGCTATTATACTTTATAAACCATTTCCTTACCTGCTTTTTTTATTTAAAATATCTTGAATAATATCTGAGTTATGATATCATTTTTCATGATGAATCATTTTTCCATGATTTAGTCATTTCCATATAGTTAAACATTTAGATTGCTTCTTATTTTTCTTTCTTTATGGTAATAGAGGCAATATATTCATTTATACACATTGCTGCTCAGGACAGGTATGGAGTTGGCCTTACGTTGGCCCACATTCTTTATAACATGATTCTACATTTTAGAAGTGGCCCATGTTCTTTATAACGTGGCCTATGTTCTTTATAATATGATTGCACATTTTAGAAGTGGAAGGACATGGCAATAGGATTCTAATTCTCAAACATCTGCCCCTGTGGAAATTGACTTGATCTGTGAACCTAGACAAATTAACTCCCACCTCATGGTCCTAAAGTGAAAAAAAAAAAAATAGAATACTACCCATCTACATGACAAGTAATTTTAGGTACATTTCAAGTTGCTGAATTTTCCAGAAAAAAAAAAGCAGAAGCAGATATCTAATAATGCACCAATTTTTGTATGGTCGTGATGGGTGAGGAAAAAATCTTCTATGAATACACTTAGAAGGTTTTAAGAAATGGAGTGAAAGTTGGTTTTGGAGCTTTTGTTTGTTTTGCTCCTTTCATTGGACTTTCAGTTGACATGTGAGCTACTGACAAAAGAAATGTGCTCTCACTGGCTCATTCAACCAAGGTTTGTTGAGCCTCTACCCCACATTGGGTTTTGGCTAGAGGAGAATGCAGGGCAAACAACGCAGGTGGGGTCCCAGCTCCCTAGAGCTTACACTCAGTGCAGTGGGTCTCCAACGTTAGTATGCCTCTCAGTCAGGGACAGGGCTGAAGATTTTGCATTTCTAGTAAGTTTTCAGATGCTGCTGCTGGTAGGCACTAGAGAACCACTGTTTGGTAGAAGTGATGGATCAAAAGCGAAACAAAGTAAACAAGTCCAATACCTTGTAGTGACTTCAGAAAGAAGCTAAAGAAGGAGCTGAGATAGAACAGAGAAAGGAGATACCCTCTCCAGGGCTCTGGTCCCTGATGAAGTGCTGTCTACACGAAAGCACCAGTTCTCAACTCTGGCTGCCCGTGAGAATCACTTGAGCAGCTTATAAGTCATACCCATTCCCGAGGCCCCCACTGAGACCAGTTCAATCAAAACCTTGAAGTGGGAGGCGCCGCACCGCGAGGGTTGAGAATTGCTGCACCGAACAGCAAGAATGAGCCAGGCACGGGAAACGTGGCCGTAAGAACCGCTTTGAGCAGAGGAAATGGCAGGTGCAAAAGCTGTGAGACGGGGAGGGCTTGGATCTGCAAGAAGACCAGGATGGCTAGAGGATAAGCAAGGGAAGACGAAAATGGCCAGAGGTGATTTTAAGAAATAGGCAATAGTCAAGGGATTCGATCTTATTTTGTTCACTCTAGCAGTCACTGGAGGATCTGAAGCAAAGGAGTGAATGCCATTATCTGGTTTACATTTTGAAAATAGGGCTACTTCTGGGGCGACTGGGTGGCTCAGTCGGTTGAGCGTCAGACTCTTGGTTTCGGCCCATGTCATGATCCCAGGGTTGTGGGATCCAGCCCCATGCGGGGCTCCACACTGGGCATGGAGTCCGCTTGAAATTCTCTCCCTCTGCCCCTCCCCCCAGCTCATGCGTGTGCACTGTGTGTGTGTCTCTCTCTCTCAAATAAAATAAATAAATGAACTCTTTAAAAATAAAAAAGAAAGAAAGAAAGTAGGGCTACTTCTAAAGTGACCTGTGTCCTCTGCAGGCAGTCTTGACCGTGCCTGGGGCTTAAATATTGACTTTTTCTCTCTTGTCTTTTTAAAATTGTGGCCCAAATTTGAACACCATCAAGTTAGAGAATAAATAGTGTAAGGTTTCTGAAAGGAATAGGTTTAGAGACCTTCAAATAACTTGAGTGGCCGCAGTGATAGCCTAGCTGGAAGCTGGTGTCCCAGGGAAGTCAGAGAACATAAAAGGTGAGCTAGAAGGATCACCTTAAGAGCTGGGCTTCCAACCATTTTCTTTCAAGGAGAATTCTTATCACGTAAGCTGGAGGGCTCCTGAATAATATGCTAATATCCCCACATGGAAATCCGCTCACCTCTTCACGCATCCCCACTACCTGGCTTATATCCTCTTCTGCAAAAAGGGACACCTGCCTTTTGCAGCAAGATCTAGCCTGATGTGTTTAAAAAAAAAAAAAAAAAATCCTGGGCTAGGACAAGCCAGTTTTAAGCCAAGGATGAGAGGTTCAAATACTAGGGGACCTCTCTTTCACCCACACGTCAAGACATGTAGGAGGACATGAGAGCCACTTCTTGGGGCACATTTTGGCATATGGTAAACGTGTGACACCCTTGTCCTTAAAGTAAGTGGGTGTGGGACTCTAGCTCTTGATTTGGTAACTTCAGTATCACTTCCCTGATTCTCCAAGTTAGATTCCATCTGCCCTTTCTGTCCTCTCATGTCATTCTCTTTTTAAAAATATTATGGTATGGGGGCACCTGGGTGACTTAGTGGGTTAAGGGTCTGCCTTTGGCTCAGGTTATGATCCCAGGGTCCTGGGAGGGAGCCCTGCATCAGCAGGGAGTCTGCTTCTCCCTCTGCCTCTGCCCCTACCCCACTCCCTTCATGCTCTCTCTCTCTCTCTCTCTCTCTCTCTCTCTCACCTGCTTCTGCTCTCTCTCAAATAAAGAAATAAATTATTTTTAAAATTTTTTAATAAAATAAAATATTATGGTATGTTATGAAACAAATAACAAATTCTCACATACCACCAAGATTTCACACATCCTACCATTTTGTCATAATATTGCCATTTTGCCATCTTTTCCGAAAAATAAAAAAGACAAAGTTGAAGTTCTCTTTTTGCCCTTCCCAGTTCCATGCCCCTCCCTCCAACAGCAGGAGACGCCTGCTCTGAAAGCAGCATCTCGCCTACCCAGTCACGTTTTTATGTTTTTATTTCATTTGCCGGCATCTATAAAATAACATACAGTATTGTTTTGTCTGTTTTTATTTACTTATGATTTCTGCAAATGCCTTTTTTTTACCCTACATTGGTATGTCTTCAAGATATATCCATTTGGACACATGCAGGTCCGGTTCAATTTATTGACTTGCTATGTAATTATATGGCAATTTGTTCACCTATTCTCCCAACATTTAATTTATTGTCAATATTTCCCATTTCAAACAGTCCTAGAATGAATATGTTTCTACACAGAGGGCATGGGCACCTTTAAGTTTACTGAATGTTAGCAAATGGTTCTCCAAAGTCATCATGACAATTTAACCTCTCACCAGCCTGTGTATCAGTTGCCATTTCTCGCCATCATTCTTTTTTTTAAAAAAAAAGATTTTATTTTTATTTATTTGACAGAGAGAGACACAGCCAG